AAAATGCTGCGAATGCAGCCAGCCGAAAGGTTGCAATGTTGCGCTTTACTCTTCAGTCTCCTTGTCCTCCAGTCCTCTGGACTTGCTCATTGAGGGTTCCAAAGACGTTCATTTGGGGTTGGTTCTATGCGAAAATGTGACTACATAAAATGCGGCAGAATCTGCCAGTTGGCCAGTATTTGATGGGACATTGGAGGTCTTTTTGGGACACTTGAAGCCTCTGGAACTGACTTCTACTGATTGATTTGCAAGTTTCCTAAGCTCTTTGCTGGGTTTTAAGAAAATTGGACTATCGATAAGCTGGCACATTTCTAAAAACCATCGGCAAGAAAAAGTACTGTACATCCGCGACACTATAAGCCATAAGCATTCCATGATCTGTGCTAATGCGTATTGAGGCGGTGAAGGCAAGTAGTCGCGACCATCAACATTCTTCATGAATTTCATTAAAACAGAATAAAAATAACTGGAGGTTTTCAAGCCCACACTTTCCAATACCTCTTCATTACCATGCGGTTCTTTCCACTGACATCATATGGTTGCATATGGGTGGTCTATTTGGGTCTAGAACGACCATTATAAATCGCTATAATTGTCTGGTGATTTTCGTTATCGGTTCGAAGATTGTCACGGTTTTAATTACTGCATATCAATAAGGCCGAGAATGGGTTGAGACTTCGTCAGTGGGACGATTTATCCCGAAGCCACTGGAATGGAGTTGGTGCTTCTGCTCTGAGAAGGATTAATTGCATTGAAGAATGAAGATATGGAGGAATTGTGGAAAAGGCCATATTCTGGCTTGCAATTGTTGCCAATGGCCAGCTTGGGCGAAAAAGCGATATTTTTAGTACTACCTAGAAAGCAAACACGGCCAAAAGTGGCTTGCGGCATGTTTTAGTATGTAACAAGGTTTTACTCGGGAAATTTCACATGGTAGTAAAACGCTTCTTATTACAATGTCATTTGTTCACCATCTTCGATTTCAGACAGGAATTTTCGATTAAATCTTTAGCAATTACGAAACATTGTTTAGGCATATTTTCCAAAGAATTTCTCAAGTGCACGCCCGTAAAAGCGCATTATTTGGACCTGCGATTGAATTTTTACTGAATATGACGTACCGCTTTAAGTAATAAGGGGGGAAAGTCTGCGTAAAACACCCTGTACGTTACTTACCTTGCTCAGGCAAAGAAGTTCTTTAGTTTGTTTAAACCGACCAATCAAATTGTGAGAAAGTTAGTTTTGAACACCATTTGGGGACGCGTTTTCTCATTACGTTAAAAACTCCTTTTCGGCAGTGACGCAACAATTGTCGTTCCAGGGGCGGATCCAGCTT